TGGGAGCTACAGTTCAGAATGAGATTTGGGTGGGGTCAGAGACAAACCATATCACATGCTGTAATATGGATGAACCTTAAGGATACTGTGCTAGGTGGAGCCAGATACAAAAGAACATATGTTGTATAATTCAATGTATACGAGATACTTAGAGTAGTGAAAACCTCAGAAAGAAGAATGGTGGCTGACGGGGCTGGGGTCAGGGAGCATGAAGAGTTATTGTTTAGTGGTTATAGAGTTTTTTATAAGATGAAAAGAGTTATGGAAATGGATTGTAGTGATGGTTGCACATTATTAATATATGTATTTAATACTACTGTATAATATACCTAAAATGGTTAAGAGAGTGCATTTTATGTGTATGTGGCCACAATAAAAAAATGAAAAAATAAAAGAAAAAGAAATGGTGACAGATAAAAATGACAGATAGGAATATCTAACATGTATGCAATTGATGTTTCTAAAGAATAAAATAGCACTAATATAAACACAAAATACTTACAGATAACGTTGGAAACAGGCCAGGTGTGGTGGCTCATGCCTATAATCCCAGCACTTTGGGAGGCCTAGGCAGGCAGATCACTTGAGGTCAGGAGTTCAAGAATAGCCTGGCCAACATGGTGAAACCCCATCTCTCAAAAAAGAAAAAAATGAGTCAGGTATGGTGGTGCATGCCTGTAGTCTCAGCTACTCAGGATGCTGAGGCAGGAGAATTGCTTGAACCTGGGAGGTGCAGGTTCCAGTGAGCTGAGATTGTACGACTGTACTCCAGCCTGGGTGACTGGGTGGCAGAGTGAAACTGCCTCTCAAAAACGTAAAAATAAAAATAAACAATGTATACATACATATGTACATGAAACTTTACTGAAAAAAATACTTGATTCTTTGACTTGGCTCTTGAAGATGGCAAGCACACATTATGTCGCAGGAAAAGTCTATAATGATCAAGCCACATTATGACACAGTTTGGTGGCTTATTTAGTATCATTGGAAAAGATTGAATCCCTTGGCCTCCAGGGAGAAAAAGCATGGCAGAAAAAGAAAGTTCCTGCCTGCAAGAACAAAGTAAAGAGTGAAGACAAGGTCACTTGGCCTCATCTGTGTGTTTGTGTAATTTGAAGTTGTCTTATTGGTAGAGTCTGGATTTTCACAGCTCCTCCATGGCCAGCAGAGCACGAGAGGAAGCAAGGGCAGAGCAAAGGGCAGGAGCTGGGACGATCACTAGCCCAAGGGAAAAACAGAATTCAGAAAAACTGCTATTTTTTTTTTAACAAAAGCATTTATTTTGGAGAAGGCATTGATTGTAGATTTTGAAACTATTTTTATGATGTTTTCCTTACTTGAGTGCCAGCAAAAAAAGTGCTACTTTTCTAAGACTTTGAAAAATTGTTAGTGAGCTACTTGACATTCCTTCCTGATATCCTTATGGGTGTAAATATTTACAGAACTGGGATGATCCTAATCCAAATCCATAAAATCGAATAACTTTTTTTCCAGTTTCTAATCAGCATTAAATACATTAAGTGTATTCAGAATCAATGTTTTGATTGTGATTAATGTTGATTTTATTAATCTTTAGGAAGCAGATGATTTGTATTACAGATCACTGGGTTTAATAAGAAAATAAATTTATTCTACTAAGTCTTTGAGTTGTAGTTTTTAACTTTAAGAGTTCTTCTTCTTTACTCTGGTTGTTTTGAATGCTTTGTAGAATTATCTTACAGTTAATACCTTAAAATACATTTGTTCCATAAAGGGATGCAAAGCCTTATCTCCCTTTTATTTATTTTTAAAATTATTTATTTATTACTTTTAGAGTCAGAGTCTTGCTCTGTCTCCCAGGCTGGAGTCCAGTGGTGTGATCTTGGCTCACCACAACCTCTGCCTCCTGGGTTCATGTGATTCTCCTGCCTCAGCCTCCCGAGTAGCTGGGATGACAGGTGCCTGCCGTCACACCCAACTAATTTTTGTAGTTCGAGACTGAGTCTTATTCTGTTGCCCAGGCTGGAGTGCAGTGGTGTGATCTCGGCTCTCTGCAACCTCTGCCTCCTGGGTTCAAGCGATTCTTAAGTAGAGATGGGGTTTCACCATGTTGGCCAGGCTGATCTTGAACTCCGGACCTCGAGTGATCCACCTACCTTGGCCTCCCAAAGTGCTGGGATTAAAGGTGTGAGCCACTGCACCCAGGCTCATCTTTCTTTTAGATGTCTCTTATTGAAGTGTTTCTCATTTTTCCAAGAATTCTTGCCTTATGTCATATTCTATTAATTACTAAGAGGGGAGCCGGCATTGGGACCAATGCCAGCAATGTAATAAATTCTTTCATCCCTTTTCAGTCCTCCTTTAGATACTAAGTTATTCTTTTGCAATGTCTTTATCCTTTTAGGGTTTCCTTTAATGTTCTTACGACTGGAATTTTCATGGCATGAAAATACTGGTGGTATAAGTTGATGAAGGAAGAACATATGGCCAATGGCCATGCTGGCTGAGTTCCCATTAAGACTTACATAGATAATAAGAGGGATGTCTGAAATCCTGTGAAATTCGACTTAAGCGTTATCTGCCCCCAAAGGTATTTCAATCTCTTAGAACTCAGACTCACAATGCCTCTTAAAATGATGACCTTTGAGTGGTACTCCTGCTTTGCAGAGGTGAGGATGTTTTTGAAACATTGTCATTAAGCTAATGACTTTAAGCTTAACTGGCTGGAAGAGTCTTTGATAACTAATTTTAATGGAGAAGCCCATCTGCCAAGGGGTAGACCTTAAGTTAATCTCTTAGTGTCCTTTCCCAAGGGAGTCAATTTCTGTTGCCTAATGGGCAACTGTTTATTCTTGATTTGGGCTTTTTTGAAGAACTCGATACCACAGGACAGTGTATGTGTGTGCCTATATTCTGCTCAATCTACCAAATATTTCAACTCATACTCAAGGCTTGGCACTCAAGGCCTATTGCCCTGGAAAAATGTGATTTAATGTAACATTTGGTTGTCATTTTAATGCTCTTGAGCATAACTAAGCTACAGTTTGTCTTGCTTGTTAGCACTCTACATCCTAGCTAGGGCTGGAGAGCCTGGTGTTAGGAATTGAGGCAGCTCTCAGGCTTTCTTTGGACCGTGTTGACTCACTCCCGTGCTTCCTTGACTAACAGTGCAAAAGGATCAAGAAAGCTCTCTCCACAGGAAGTTCACTAGCAAGAACAGGAAATAACCTCTTAGGGCCTCAGATGTGTGAAGACCTCACTATACCCCAGAACTTGTACTAGAAAAGAAAAAAAACTGGGGGAACTTTTTATCAACTCAGCGAATGGTGTCAACACCTACCAAGCCAGATTTATCCTTGATTCCTCTCTTGCCCTTATCACTCACATCTAAGTTGCCAGAAAGTCCTTTTGATTTTACCTAAAAAATGCACATTGAGCGTGTCTTCTCCCCATCTCACTTCTGCACTCCAGTGCCAGGCTCTCATTAGCTCTCGTTTGGATTATTGTAATAGTTTCCTGTCTCACACCACATCCACTAATTTCCTCCTGCAGTCAGTTCTCTTCATAGTAGCCAGTGCAATATGAAACATAAATTAGATGATGCCACTGTCTTGTTTAAATCTCTAAGTTTCCAGTTCTCATCAGAATAAAATAGAAGTTCCTTACCTTACCTTCAATGTCTTGAATAATCTAGCCCCTGCCTATCTCCCTCAGCACACTCGTCACACTAAATTCCTTTTGATGCCATGAGCACATCAAGCCCTATCAAAAGTATGCTCTGCCTTGTTTCCCTTCCAAGGAGAATGGGAGGTGGTGTTTACATTTCCTTTGATTTTGCTCATACCTTGAGTGTATGTATCCTCTGCGTAAAGGCCCTACCTTTAGACAAAAAAAGAGATATTGCTTCAAGTTCATTTTCTTATCGCACTAACTCAGAGGAAGATGTGGCATCTGCCTTGTTTTGGGAAACCAAACTGATAGATATGCAGAATATGTTCCCTGGTTTATGTGGAGGCTGGAACTGGTAAGATGTGTCCCAGTGTAGAGGTGAAAAATGACTCCCCCTGTTGGTGGGAAAAGGTGTGAGTGGTGCATTCTTTGTCAAAACTCAAATTTCTAGTGTTTATGGACACTTATCATAAACTTAGCCTTTATGATAGCATACAGGAGTATGATATAGCTACTAGACATAGCTACCCTTTACTTTGTGTCATATGCTATGCACCTGTACACATTATGACAACTGATGAAGAAACTTTGTCCAAGATCATGTAGCTAGTATTTGGCAAAGCCACTAGACTATAAACATCAAAAATTAAAATTTTTGTTTTTATCAGGACCTAGAATTAATTGTGCCTGGTTATATAGTAGATGCTTAATATTCACTGAGTAAAGGAAGCTGGGCTTATAATGCAGCTCTGTTTGACAGACTGACAGCTAACACATTATGATATAGCCTTTACATACTTGGTTGATGGCTTTACATATATTAACTAACTTGCACTACAAACCTGTAAGTTAGATACTGTCACCACCAGAGTGCAAATGAAAAACCTGAAGCATAGAGTGCACCTTTCCCAGGATCAGGAAGTAGTGTAACTGGTATTTGAACCAAGGTAGTCTGTCTTTAAAGAGTGTTTTTAATGAATAGTTCAGTCATCTGCCTATAAATTTCTTTTATATTCTCAAACTTTGGTGTATATAAGAATTGTACCAGGTTGTATACATTAAAAATGTACACTATATTTTATGGAGGAGTTAATGAATTTTCAAGGGTAAATTTAGCCTTATGAGTTAATATTAGAATTTAACTTCCTCATAACATGAAACTACGTTGTGTCATTTAATTCTCACAACCTTCTAAGTTGGATATTTTTATCACTCAGGGCTCTTTTTTTTAAATTTGTTTTTTATTTCAATAGGTTTTTGGGGAACTGGTGGTATTTGGTTACATGAATAAGTTCTTTGGTGGTGATTTCTGAGATTTTAGTGCCCCTATCATCACCCAAACACACCCAATGTGTAGTTTTATATCCCTCACCCACCTCCTACCCTTTTCCCTGAGTCCGCAAAGTCCATTGTGTCATTCTTATGGTTTTGCATCCTCATAGCCTAGCTTCCAATTATGAGTGAGAACATATGATGCTTGGTTTTCCATTCCTGAGTGACTTCACTTAGAATAATAGTCTCGAATTTCATCCGGGTTGCTGTGAATGCCGTTATTCTATTCCTTTTTATGGCTGAGTAGTATTCCAGTGTGTATATATACCACGTTTTCTTTACTTACTCATTGATTGATGGGCATTTGGGTTGGTTCCATATTTTTGCAATTGCAAATTGTGCTGCTGTAAACATGCGTGTGCAAGTATCTTTTTTGTATTATGACTTCTTTTCCTCTGCGTAGATACCTAGTAGTGGGATTGCTGGATCAGATGGTAGTTCTACTTTTAGTTCTTTAAGGAATCTCCACACTGTTTTCCATAGTGGTTGTACTAGTTTACATTCCCACCAGCAGTGTAAAATTGTTCTCTTTCACCACATCCATGTCAATATCTATTTTTTTTATTTTAATTTTTTGATTGTGGCCATCCTGGCAGGAGTAAGGTGATATCACATTATGGTTTTGATTTGCATTTCCATGATAATTAATGATGTTAAGTATTTTTCCAAATAGCTTGTTGGATATTTGTATATATTCTTTTGAGAATTGTCTATTCATGTCCTTATCCCAATTTTTGATGAGATTGTTCTTTTCATCCTGATTTGTTCGAGTTCTTTGTAGATTCTAGATATTAGTCCTTTGTCAGATGTATAGATTGTGAAAATTTTCTCCTGTTCTGTGGGTTGTCTGTTCACTCTCCTGACTATTTCTTTTGCTGTGCAGAAGCTTTTTAGTTTAATTCAGTCCCATCTATGTAGCTTTGTTTTTGTTGAATTTGCTTTTGGGTTCTTGGTCATGAAATCTTTGCTTAAGCCAATGTCTAGCAGGATTTTTCTGATGTTATCTTCTACAATTTTTATCGCTTAGATCTTAAATTTAGCTTTTTACCATGTTAAATTGATTTTTTTAATAAGGTGAGATATGAGGATCCAGTTTCATTCTTCTACATTGGCTTGCCAATGATCCCAGCACCATTTGTTAAATAGGGTGTCCTTTCACCACTTTATGCTTTTGCTTGCTTTCTTAAAGATCAGTTGATTGTAAGTATTTGGATTTGTTTCTGGGTTCTCTATTTTGTTCCATTGGTCTATGTGCCTATTATTATTATTATTATTTTTTAAGGTGGAGTCTCGTTCTGCTGCCCAGGCTGGAGTGCAGTGGTGCAGTCTCGGCTCACTGCAACCTCCGCCTCCCAGGTTCAAGCAACTCTCCCTGCCTCAGCTTCCAGAGTAGCTGGGATTACAGGTGTCTACCACCACACCCCACTAATTTTTTGTATTTTTAGTACATATGGTGTTTTGCCACATTGGTCAGGCTGGTCTCAAACTCCTGACCATAGGCTATCCACCTGCCTCAGCCTCCCTAAGTACTGGGATTACAGGCATGAGTTATCATGCCCCATCTGTGTGTCTATTTTTATACCAGTATCATGCTGTTTTGGTGACTATGACCTTATAGTATAGTTTAAGGTCAGGTAATGTGATGCCTCCTGATTTGCTCTTTTCACTTAGTCTTGATTTGACTATAAGGCTCTTTTCTTGGTTTCAAATGAATTTTAGGAGTATTTTTTCTAGTTCTGTGAAGAATGATGATGGTATTTTGATGGGAATTGCATTAAATTTGTAAATTGATTTCGGCAGTATGGTCATTTTCTCAATATTGATTCTACCCATCCATGAACATGGAATGTGTTTCCATTTGTTTGTGTCATCTATGATTTCTTTCAGCAGTGTTTTGTAGAGGTCTTTCACCTCCATGGTTAGGTATATTCCTATGTATTTCATTTTTTTGTAGCTATTGTAAAAGGGATTGAGTTACTGATTTGAGTCTCAGCTTGTTCACTGTTAGTGTATAGCAGATCTACCGATTTCTGTACATTAATTCTGTATCCTGAAACTTTACTGAATTCATTTACCAATTCTAGGAGCTTTCTGGATGAGTCTTTAGGGTTTTCTAGGTATATGATCATATCATCAGCAAACAGTGACAGTTTGACTTCCTCTGTACTGGTTTGAATGCCCTTGATTTCTTTCTCTTGTCTGATTGCTCTGGCTAGGACTCCTAGTATGTAGTAGCCCATTCTTATGCTGCTAAGAAAGACATACCCAAGACTGGGTAATTTACAATGGAAAGAGATTTAATTGCCTTACAGTTCAGCATGGCTGGGGAGGCCTCAAAAAACTTACAATCGTGGCAGTAAGGGAAGCAAACATGTCCTTCTTACATGGCAGCAGCAAGGATACATGCTGAGCAAAAGGGGGAAAAGCACCTTATAAAACCATCCAGATCTTGTGAGAACTCACTCACTATCACAAAACAGTAGCATGGGAGTAACTGCCCCCATGATTCAATTACCTCCCACTGGGTTCCTCCCATGACACATAGAGATTATGAGAACTACATTTCGAGATGAAATTTGGATGGGGACACAGCTAAACACTGTCATTCTGCTCCTGGCCCCTCTCAAATTTCATGTCCTCACATGTCAAAACATAATCATGCATTCCCAACTGTCCTACAAATTCTTATCTCATTCTAGCATTAACTCAAAAGTCTAAGTCTCTCATCTGAGACAAGTCCTTTCCACCTATGAGCACGTAAAATCAAAAGCAAGTTAGTTACTTCCTAGATACAATGGGATGTATAGGCATTGGGTAAATACAGCCTTTCCAAATGGGAGAAACTGGCCAGAACACAGACCCCATGCAAGTCCAATATCTAATAGGGCAGTTATTAAACCTTAAAGTTCCAAAATGATCTCTTTTGACTCCACGTCTCACATCCAAGTCCTACTGATGCAAGAGGTGGGCTCCCACAGCCTTGGGTAGCCTTTGCCCCTGTGGCTTTGCAGGATACTACCCCGCTCCAGGCTGCTTTTATGGGCTGGCATTGAATGTCTGTGGCTTGTAGGTTTTCTGCTGAGAAATCTGCTGTTAATATGATAGGTTTTCCTTTTTAAGTTACCTGATGCTTTTGTCTTACAGCTCTTGTTTTCTGCATCTTGACTTTAGATAACCTGATGACTATGCAATGATCTTTTTGCAATGAATTTACCAGATGTTCTTAGAGTTTCTTGTATTTAGATGTCTGGATCTCTAGCAAGACCAGGGAAGTTTTCCTTGATTATTCCTTCAAATATATTTTCCAGACTTTTAGATTTCTCTTCTTCCTCAGCAACACCAGTTATTCTTATGTTTGGATGCTTAACATAGTCCCAAACTTCGTGGAGGGTTTGCTCATTTTTTAAAATTCTTTTTTCTTTGTCTTTGGTGGATTGGGTTCATTTGAAAGCCTTGTCTTTGAGCTCTGAAGTTCTTTCTTCTGCTTGTTTAATTATATTGCTGATACTTTCCAATACATTTTGCATCTTTCTAAGTGTGTCCTTGATTTCTAGAAGTTGTGATTGATTTTATTTATGCTATCTATTTCACTGAAGATTTTCCCTTTCATATCCTGTAACATGTTTTTGATTTCTTTAAGTTGGACTTCACCTTTCTCTGGTGCCTCCTTGATTAACTTAATAACTGACATTCTGAATTCTTTTTCTGGCAGTTCAGAGATTTCATCTTGGTTTGGATCCATTGTTGGTGAGCTAGTGTGATCTTCTGTGGGTGTTAAAAAGCCTTGTTTTGGCATATTACCAGATTTGTTTTTCTGGTTTCTTCTCATTTGCGTAGACTATATCAGAGGGAAGATCTGGGACTCAGGACTGCTGTTCAGAATATTTTGTCCCACGAGATGCTCCCTTGATGTGGTGTTCTCCCCTTTCTGCTAGGGATGGGCCTTCCTGAGAGACAAACTGCAGTGATTGTTTTTGTTCTTCTGGGTCTAGCCATCCAGCATGCTACTGGGCTACAGGCTGATACTGGGTAGTGTCTGCAAAGAGTCCTGTGATGTGATCCATCTGCTGGTCTTTCAGCCATGAATGCCAGCACCTGCTCCAGTGGAGGCAGCAGGGGAGTGAAGTGGATTCTGTGAGGGTTCCTTGGTTGAATTTTTGTTTAGTGTACTGGTTCTGTGTTTGTTGGCCTCCAGCCAGGAGGTGGCATTTTCAAGAGCACATAAGCTCTGGTTTTATAGGGCGGATCAGGTGGTAGGTGGGGGCTATAGAGCTCCCAAGAGATTATGTCCTTTGTTTTTCACTATCAGGAAGAGTAGAGAAAGATCATCGGGTGGGGGCAGGGTCAGGTGTGACTGAACTCAGACTGTCCTTGGGCGGGGGTTGCTGTGACTGCTGTGGGGGATGGAGGTGTGGTTCCCAGGCCAATTTAATTATGTCCCCAGAGGGATTATGGCTGACTATGCTGCATCATGCAGGTCACCAGGGAAGTGGGGGAAAGCTGGCAGTCACCAGCCTCACCCTGTTTCCATGCATCTTCAAGTCCTGAAGACCTCCCTCAATTTCACCATGGTCCCCCCAACAGCACTGAGCCTATTTCCAGGCATCTAGTGAGGAGGGCTGAGAACTTGCCCCAGACCACCAGCCTCCCCATTGAGGAAGCAAGCAGACTCTTCAGAGTCTCAGGGAACCTGCAGTGATTATTCAGTTCCTTCGAAGCGTCTGTGGATTCTTTCAGTTTTCCTGGTATGTTGCTGTGGTAGTTCATGGAGTAAAAAGTTTACTATGTGAGTCTCCACATACTGCTCTGTCTGTCCAAGCAGAAGCTGTCTTCTGTTTACTGTCTTAATCCAGGGAGTCTCACTTAGAACTCTTGATTGAAAGTTATGGAAACACATTGGTACTTGTTTAAGCAAATGAAGTTATTTTTTCTCCATGAAAATGTAAAAATAAGGTTTACTGAAATATAATTTACTTACAGTAACATTAATCATTTGTAGTGTATAGGTCTGTGTTCAGATAAACTCATACAATCTTGTAATCTCTACCTCAATCAAGATATAGAACATTTCTGACACCTCAAAAACTCTCTTATGGGCTGGGTTCAGTGGCTCACACCTGTAATCTCAGCAGTTTGGGAGGCCAAGGCAAGTGGGTCACTTGTACCCAGAAGTTTAAGACCAGCCCAGGCAACATAGTGAAACCCTGTTTCTACAAAAAATACAAAAATTAGCCAGGCGCAGTGTCTCATGCCTGTAGTCCCCTCTACCCCCACTTGGGAGGCTGAGGTGGGAGGGTCACTTGAGCCTGGGAGATGGAGGTCGTAGTGAGCCAAGCTCACACCACTGCACTCCAGCCTGGGGAACAGTGTGAGACTGTGTCTCAATAAAAAAAAAAAAGTTCCCTTATGCCCTGTGATGGTTAATACTGAGTGTCAACTTGATTGGATTGAAGGATACAAAGTATTGTTCCTGGGTGTGTCTGTGAGGGTGTTGCCAAAGGAGATTAACATTTGAGTCAGTGGGCTGGGAAAGGCAGACCTACCCTCAATCTGGTGGGCACAATCTAACCCACTGCCAGTGCAGCTAGAATATAAATGGCAGAAAAACATGAAAAAAGAGACTGGCCTAGCCTCCCAGCCTACAGCTTTCTCCTGTGCTGGATGCTTCCTGCCCTAGAACACTGAATTCCAAGCTCTTCAGTTTTGGAACTTGGACTGGCTCTCCTTGCTCCTCAGCCTGCAGATGGCCTATTGTGGGAGCTTGTGAGTTAATAACTCCCCTTTATACATATATATCGATTCCATTATTTCTCTCCCTCTAGAGAATCCTGACTAATAATACCCCTTTGTAGCCAAACATTCTCTCCACCCTTTGCCATTGGCAACTACTGATCTGTTTCTGGCCTATAGTTTTGTCTTTTCCAAAATGTCATATTAATGGTTCATATGGTATGTAGCCTTTTGAAGTGGACTTTTCTCCATTCAGATTCATTCACCCTTTTTATTGCAGAGTAACATTCCATTGTATGAATGTACCACAATTTGTTCATTCATTTATCAGTTGAAGGACACCTGGGTTGTTTCCAGTTTTTGATAATTATGAATAAAACTACTGTAAACCTGTTTATAAGTTTTCAGTATATACATATTTTTATGTTTCTTCAATAAAAATATCTAGAAGTGAGATCGTTGAGTCATATGTGAAGTGTATGTTGAATTTTATAACGAATTGCCAAGCTGTTTTCTGTAAGGGATGCTGCATTATTTGTATTCCTATCAGCCAATGTATTTGAGCTGAAATTTTTCTTTCTTCTCACCAGCCATTGGTGTCCTTAAGTCTTTTTTATTTTGCCCATTCTAATAGTGTGCAGTATTTCCTCACTGGGGCTTCAATTTGCATTTTCCTAATGAGTAATGATGTCGAGCACTTCTCTATGGGCTTATTTGCCACCCATATATCTTCTTTGGTGATGTTCTTTTTCAAATCTTTGCTCAATTTTTATTGGGTTTCTTGACTTTTTATTGAGTTTTGAGAGTTCTTTATATATTCTAAGTCTTTTATAAAATATGTATTTTTCAAACATTTTCTATGCATCTGCGATTTGTGTTTTTATTTTTTGACAGCATCTTTCAAAAAGCAGAAGTTTTAAATTTTGATAAAGTTCAATTTATCAATTTTTTTCTTTTATGGTGGGTGCTTTTTATGTCACATCTAAAAAATCTTTGCCTAACCAAAACTCACAGAAACTTTTTTTTCCAGAAGTTTTATAGTTTTTGACTTTTACATTTAGGTCTATGATCCATTTTTAGTTAATCTTTGTATATGTTGCAAAGTATGGATTGAAAATCAATTTTTTAAAATATTGATTTCTAATTGTTCTAGCACCACTTGTCAAAAACATCAACTTTTCTCCATTGACTTGTCTTGTCCCATTGTTAAAAATCAATTGATCACATACGTATAGGGCTGTTTCTGGATTTTTTTTTTTATTTGACATTCTATGCCCTTTTAATAGACCACTTAATTCTCCCAACACCCCCCTTTTATGATAGAGGAAATTAAGTCACAAGGAAGTTAATAATTTGCTTAACTTAGTTAGTGCCAGAGCTAGTGTATTAGTCTGTTTACGTGCTGCTGGTAAAGACATATCAAGACTGGGAAGAAAAGAGGTTTAATTGGACTTACCGTTCTACATGGCTGGGGAGGCCTCAGAATCATGGTGGGAGGTGAAAGCACTTCTTACATGGCAGTGGCAAGAGAAAAATGAGGAAGAAGCAAGAGCAGAAACCTCTGGTAAACCCATCAGATCAAGATAGTGAGACTTACTCAATCATGAGAACAACATGGGAAAGACCCATCCCCACGATTCAATGACCTCCCCATGGGTCTTTCCCACAACATGTGGGAACTTTGGTAAATACAATTCAAGTTTAGATTTGTGTGGAAACACAGCCAAATCATATCATTCTGCCACTGGCCCCTCCAAATCTCTTGTCCTTACATTGAAAAACCAGTCATGCCTTCCCAACAGTCCCCCAAAGTCTTAACTCATTTCAGCATTAACCCAAATGTCCACAATCCAAAGTCTCATCTGAGACAAGGCAAGCCCCTTCTGCCTATGAGCCTGTAAAATCAAAAGCAAGCTAGTTACTTCCTAGATACAATGGGAGTACAGGCATTGGGCAAATACAGCCATTCCAAATGGGAGAAATTGGCCAAAATTAAGAGGTTACAGGGCCCATGATAGTAAAAATTCAGTGGGGCAGCCAAATCTTAAAGCTCCAAAATGATCTCCTTTGACTCCAGGTCTCACATCCAGGTCACACTGATTCAAGAGGTGAGTTTCCATGGTCTTGGGCAGCTCTGCCCCTGTGGCTTTGCAGGGGACAACCTTCCTCCCAGCTGATTTCACAGGCTGGCATTGAGTGTCTATGGCTTTTCCAGGCACACAGTGCAAGCTGTTGGTGGAGCTACTATTCTAGGGGCTGGAAGATGGTGGGCCTCTTCTCACAGTTCCACTAGGCAGTATCCCAGTGGGGACTATGTGTGGGGGCTGTGGCCTCAGATTTCCCTTCTGCACTGCTGTAGCAGACGTTCTTCATGAGAGCCCTGCCCCTGCAGCAAACTTTTGCCTGGGCATCCAGGCTTTTCCATACATCTTCTGAAATCTAGGCAGAGGTTCCCAAACCTTCAGTTCTTGACTTCTGTGCACCCGCAGGCTCAACACTACATGGAAGCTACCAAGGCTTGGGGCTTGCACCCTCTGAAGCCACAGCCTGAGCTCTATGTTGGCCCTTTTCAGCCATGGCTGGAGTGGCTGGGACACAGGGCACCAAGTCCCCAGGCTGCACACAACATGGGGATTCTGGGCCTGGCCTATGAAACCATTTTTCCCTCCTGGGCCTCTAGGCCTGTGATGGGAGGGGCTGCTGCAAAGGTCTCTGACATGGCCTGGAGATATTTTCCACATGGTGTTGGGGATTAACATTAGGCTCCTTGCTACTTATGCAAATTTCTGTACCTAGCTTCAATTTCTCCCCAGAAAATGGGTTTTTCTTTTCTATTGCATAGTCAGGCTGCAAATTTTCCAAACTTTTATGCTCTGCTTCCCTTATAAAATTGAATGCCTTTAACAGTACCAAAGTCACATCTTGAATGTTTACTGCTAAGAAATTTCTTCTGCCAGATACCCTATATCATCTCTCTCAAGTTCAAAGTTCCACAGATCCCTAGGGCAATGACAAATTCTGCCAATATCTTTGCTAAAACATAACAAGAGTCTTCTTTGCTCCAGTTCCTTCCTCCCTCCCTACCTTTCTCCCTTCCTCCCTCCCTCCCTCCCTCTCTCCCTTTCTCCCTTCCTCCCTCCCTCCCTCCCTCCCTCTCTCCCTCCCACCCTTTCTCCCTTCCTCTCTTCCTCCCTTCCTCCCTCCCTTCCTCCCTTCCTCCCTCCCTCCCTCTCTCCCTCTCTCCCTCCCTCCCTCCCTTCCTCCCCTTCCTCCCTTCCTCCCTCCCTTCTTCCCTTTCTCCTTTTCTCCCTTCCTCCCTTTCTCCCTCTCTCCCTTCCTCCCTCTCTCCCTCCCTCCCTCCCTCTTTCCCTTCCTCCCTTCCTCCCTCCCTCCCCACTACTACCCCCCTCCCTCCCTCCCTCCCTCCCTCCCTCCCTTCTTCCCCACCTCCTCGTCTTTCTTCCTTCCTTCATGCCATACCTATTATGTGTCAAAATAAAGCTAAGTACTGGGGATACAGAATGAAGAAATCAGATGAGGTCCCTGAACTTTTGGAGCTTACAGTATAGTCTAGGATCATTAAACTACAGTTGAAGTAATATACATAGAGACAAAACAGCTTGTGACAGATTATATAACCAGGGAACGCGACGGAGTGAGGATCAGATCTATTAATGTAACTAAGTCTGAGGTCAGGAAAGACCTATTTGTGAAAGCAATCTTTTGGATGGAACCTGAGGGATGAGCGCAAATGATTTAGGTAGAGCCTTGGGCAGGGTGTGAGGGTGCGGAGGAAAGAAGGAAGGAAAAGACTATGGGAAGCCCCTGAGAGGTTCAAAAACCCAAACATGCCAAAGTGCCTGAAATACGGCAAACAGAAGGTAGGATGGTGGCATGAAGCTGGGAGGAGCTGGAATTTCAGGGCTTCTTAGGCAATGGGAAGGACTTTGGACCTAGTCCTAAGAGCCATGGAAGCTGCTGGAAGGTTTTAAGCAGACGGGTGACATGATCATGATTTATTTGTTTCCTTCCTTCCTTCCTTCCTTCCTTCACTCTGAGTATCTGTTCCATTTTTAGATATATGCCATCCTATAAAACTTTTAAATATATAGATATTCTCAAAGTGTTCACATAACATGGTCCCATCTTACCAGGAAGGGATCTGCATTTCTTTAAAGGTTAAATATTGAAGCAGGTCAGTCTTCAGTTAGATAAAACAAACTGGGAATTACTAGTGCCAAATTCATAATACACTGACTTAACATACGGTGGCCATCAACCTAACCTTGAGCAAGAACTCACATACATAGAAGCCAAAGTTTTCTGCTGGATGGGAGGGACAGGCGTTAGCCAGGGATCTGTATGTAAAGACCATTCCCTACTGTTGTAATCGCCTGGTCAGGTAGAGGTAGCATGAATTATTCATGTAAAGAAGGCAAATTAGAGTTAGAACCAGGTGCTCTGCCTTCCCTAGTGAGGACTCTGCCAATTATGATAAAGAAGGAACTCTCACTCAATCAAGCCACAGTCCACTTTTGTATGTGCTTAACCCAGATTCCCTAACTGGGCTTGAAAATGGATTAGTGGATGATGAGCTTGCTTTAAAGGTGATACTGTCTTCAAAAGAGAGGGAGAGTTACTTCTACTAGTGGTTTTAAAAGTGAAATGCAAAGTTCTAAATGAATTGCTTTAATAACACTTGCCATGAATGCCTGTTAAACAATGTTAAGTTCATTTTGCAGAAGTTGCTGTTGCTTTTAAGGTATAAAAACTACTAATTCAGACATATTTTCAGACCAGAGCATACCTTTCTGTGGACCCATCGTTTTAGGTCTCTAAAATGGCAGAACTGCAAAGGACTTAGTCATTTGGTTGGTCTGATTTGTCACAGTTACTCCTAGACCACTGTGCTGTGGGAATGTGAACAAACTACTTATTATTAGAGACTTAAGACTAGGTGTGATAAAAGGAAACAATCTCATCATGCCTGCTCTTCAGCAACCCTGGGGCTTCCATCTCCAGGCTGAGTGGTCCTGACTGAAAATTGTGAGGAGATATGGTGAACGTTTAGAAGTCACATCCGTGCTACCAAACAGGGCAACACAATGATCTTCCCGCTCTGCATTCTTATCTGTTCTCCAAATTTTTCCTAAGCATGGGAACAAATGAAACCAAGTAGCTTTCTTCTAATTATTAAGATCTTTAAAATATTTTTAATATCATGGATAAGTAATCAGTCAATCAATAAACATTTATTAAACAGTGATATGTACAAGGCACTCCTAGGAGTTTGGGTGAGTTCCCAAAAATCATAAGATTTTGACTATGGGAAAGATAATAATAAAGACAAGTGATAATCCAAGACCGGATACACCATATCACTAAGGAATGGATTCCTTCAGGAAGGATAAATTTCATTGGTCTCAAGAGCCTGCCCAGAGGAGGTGAAATTGGAGCTGGGCTTTGAAGAGGGAATAATATGCAGCAAAAAAAGATGAGAGAGGCTGGGCGCGGTGGCTCATGCTTGTAATCCCAGCATTTTGGGAGGCCGAGGTGGGCAGATCATGAGGTCAGGAGCTTGAGACCAGCCTAACCAACATATTGAAACCACGTCTCTACTAAAAATATAAAAATTAGCTGCGCGTGGTGGCAGGCGCCTGTAGTCCCAGATATTTGGGAGGCTGAGGCAGGAGAATTGCTTGAACCTGAGAGGCAGAGGTTGCAGTGAGCAAAGAGAGCACCACTGTATTCCAGCCTGGGCGACAGAGAAAGACTCCATATTAAAAAAAAAAAAAAAAAAAAATGAGAGAGGCCAGTACAGTAGGTAGAATAAAGTATAATGCCTCAATGCATTTCCTGGTCAAGAAACTTTGGCTCCGTTTCTACATTAGAAAATATAGATAGTCTAATAACATTTTCAGAACTGGAGTAGCTAGCTTAAAGTGTGTGTGTGTATGTGTGTGTGTATGTGCATGTGTGTGTTTGTGTATGTGTATTCCTGCTTTCTGAAGATTCATTTCATATATAGGTAAATTCAAGGGAAATTATAATTCAGCTTTTAGAGACTTGAGAAACCAATAGAAAAGAAAGTTTTTCTGAATCTCACACTGCACATGGAAAGCACAACTATTAGGTCAAAGACAGTCATTTTAATGACCCATTCACTAGCATCCTCAACTCCTTTTCCTTTTCTTTTGCCACATGTGTTCTTTTGTCGGCAAGCTTCAATGAATCCCACCATCCTCTTCATCTGCTTCTGCTCATGGGCAACAAGATTAACAAGAGAAAATAAGCATGACAGATTTGTAGTTCCTAACCTCACCTGTGCCTAAGACAATACTTTTACTTGACCCCACTCAGCTTCCTCTTGCATTCTGTGTCAGTTAGAATCTCAGGTAGGAAATGAGTGGCACACCCCAATGTGAAGAGTGGAGACTTTAATGAAAGGACTGTTTGCCCAGGTGTGGGCATGATTATGGGAAATGAACAAAGGCTGTTGAGGTACCCCAGGGCTAGCAACAGAGGGAAAGCCATTATTCTCCGAAGACTGTAGGGGATGAGGAATCCATTAAGATCTCTAGCTGTAAGGGAAGTCCTCTAGTGATAGCTGCAGCCCTCTGAAGAGGATGTCTGCCACTGGCTGCTCACAGCCAGGCAGAAAGGGACCTAGGGAATAAATATCCCACATTCTCCTCTCTCCCACTGGCTGAAACCAACCAAATACCAGAGATTTAGAAAACTGGTGGGTGCAATCCATAACTGTCAGTCACTTGGGGCATAGAACAGGGAAACAGTGTGGAAAGGATGAAGAATGGATCTAATGGGGCAAAAGCAGAACCTATTGCAAACATTCCTTCTAGGAGTTGTTCTGAGCCTTTACCATTCTTTTCAAACTCCCTACCTCTTCTTTATCTTTCTTTCTCTTCAAAAGTACTTCTATTCCATTCTATTGTCAACGAAAATAAGAGGCATTTCTCTTATTCTTCTTTCCCTACTCTCCACTTCTAGATTTTAATTGTTCTTATATTTCTTCCTTCCCTTATATGCCAGGCATAGATGTGTTGTGTTTCTCCCTTCCAGACAGAATCTTCTAGTTATGCCCACAGCTTACCACACATCACTCTGGAGCCTCCCTACGTAAATTATCTTTATTCTTTCCTGTCTTAGTGTCTTCCAACTATTTGGATCCTTGCTTTGGAGTTTATAAACATATACAAATTTATCTCAAAACAAAAACCACCTTTCTATTTGATATCTCTACCTTTCCAGTTGCTGCCATATCTGATTTCTCCTTTTTGTTACTAATCTTCTGAAATAGAGTCTATGCTTGTTGGCTGTGCTTCCTTGCTTGCTTCACCTATAGTCTGGATTCTGACATTCCCCCAACTTAACTAAAAATGTACTTGCTGAAGTCACCAGCGACCTT